CTGGCACCGCAGCAAAGGTTCTATGTCGTGAAGAATGCTTACACCTTTACGTGTGCACTACGTGGGCCTGCAGCTCAATCAGTTATCACAAGGGCGTCATTCACTTCATTCCCACCCTGTCGACGCCTGGCGTCGCTGCAGTCGCAACACTGCCGAACATTTTCCTACATGTAACACACGTCTGGTACCCCTCTTTCGATATCATTCTGCTCGTTCCGTATCAGCCCAGGGGACTCAGGATTGCGGGGCAACCGCTGGCGAATGCTCAATCTTGCCTGCTGAGTTGCGCTGTGGATCAACACCTTCCAACTCCGAGTCCATGCACAGCCCACGAAAGCAACAGGGAAGCCTATAAAGCAAAGCTGGAACACATCTTACAGCCAACGCAGCTGTATCCAAGTGTCCCTAGATCTCCGACCCAAGGGGAATCCGCAAGCGAACCTGCTGGGAGAACAACTTCTGATTATCGACGGCGGCTGTAGGCCGTAAGTTGCAGGGCCCCTTGGCAATGTGTACATACACTCTTGGCCTGAAAGAGGATGAACCCTGGCGCGACCCAAATGAGGGGAACGCTTCCTAAGCGGCATTGCTTAGAATTGCTCGGCATTGCTTTGCATTGCTTGACGTTGCTTGGCATTGCTTTGTATGGCTTGGCATTGCTTGGCGCTGCTTGGCGCTGCTTGGCATTACTTAGCGTTGCTTGCCATTGCTTGGCATGGCTTTGCATTGCGTAACGTTGATTGGCATTGCTTCGCCTCGTTTGGTTTTGCTTGGCGTTGCTTGGTTTTGCTTTGAATTGCTTTGCGCTGTTTTGCATTACGTGGCATTGTTTGGCATTGCTTGGCGTAGTTCGGCATTGCTTGGCAATACTTTGCATGGCTTGGCATTGCTTGGCATTAGTTTGCATTGGTTTGCATTATTTTGCATTGCTTTGCATTGCGTAGGCGTTGCTTGGCGTTGCTTGGCATTGCTTGGCTTTGCTTGACGTTGCTTGTCTTTGCGTGACGCTGCTTGGCGTTGCCAGGCGTTGTTGGCGTTTCCTGGTACTGCTGGAAAAGCAAATCTTGCCCGACCCACAGCAAGTAAGCAGACAAGACCTAGCAACCGGTGGAATGCCTCATCAGGAACATCTTAAGAACACAAGACCAACTAATTTGGGGACGGGGACGGCCCTCTCAAGCCTGATCGGGAAACAAGGCCCAGCAACCAAGGTAAGGATTCTTCAAAACCCTTGAGGGACGAAGACCCAGCAATCCCAGGGAAGACCGGCCGACCAGGCCTCAAGCCCACCGATGTTTTTCGCAAACGAGCAACTGCCCCTCAGGCAAGGCTGCCTGCGTCGCAGGCTCGGCAGGCCTGGACGAACAGATGATGATGAGTCTGGCAGGGACTCACGCGGCATCGACGCTCACCGGTCCCCAGGCTTGAGAACAAACCCGACTACAACTGCTTCGGACTGTTCAAGAAATAAGTGGCACCGAACGCAATAACCTCGCGCTCACGCCGTGGAAAAGCTTTCGGCGCGCGGCCTCTTAAGGGCCTCTGCGCGGCAGCTTAAGAGCTTCTGCGCGATCTTGTGCGAGGCCACTTACGAGCCTCTGCGCGGGCTTCTTCGGCGTGGCCTCTTGAAGACCCTCTGCGCGTCCTCTTGGGAGCCTCTTTGGCATTATGAGAAGTGTTTCTGAGAAAGGCCTCTGGCTTGCAGGCTGTCAAACGGATTCTGCGTGGCTTCTTAATGGCGTCAGAAAGGATTACGCGTGGCTTGTGAACGATTTCCGAGACGCCCTCGCGTGGCTTCGTACTGGGGTCCCAAAAGATTTCTGCGAGGCTGTTTCATGACTTTTGGTAAAGGGTCACGAGTACAGTCCAGATTATCAGGCGAAGGTCGGAAAAATCCGCAATCCAAAGAACTGGTGCTTCAACTCACATGGTTCGCTGCGCTACGTTCCAAACAAGTACCCACAAAGAGTCACACTTGTCCGCCGACCCCCGCTTGCCAGGGGTGACAAGGCGTGTGAGACAGTTGGCTTCCCCCCCCCCCCACCTCCCTCTTTCCCCCTCCCCCAGGGTCCCAAACCCGATTAGAGGGGGGAAGGGGGGGGGACGAGCTCGCCAACCATCCAAGGCACTCTCCGGAGCCTCCAAAATGCCCAAGGCAGCCCAACAGGGCCCAGACAGAGCGACAAGACAGTCGAACAGAGCGTCATGACGGCCCAGGGTAGCCCCACGACGATCCAAGATGGCTTCAAGATGGCCAACCAAGCCTCAAGACAGCCCAAAAGCGCCTGCACAGGATCGCCGAGAGGGCCCCAAGATGCCAAAGTTACCCCATTCCCTCGGAAAAACGTGCATTTTCAACACGCTCGCATTTTACGTTTTGACAGCGAACACGACGGCCCAAGTGGCCCCCAAGATCGCCCCAAGACGGCCCATGATGCCTCCGAGAAGGCCCCAAAGGGCCCAAAGACAGCCCCAAGGGCCCTCCAGGACGGCCCAAGACAGCCCCTGGAGGGCCCCAAGACGGGAATCTGCAGGTGAGCATGCAAGTTGAATACGCAGGTGCATGCCAGATATGTTCTTTCACCGTGAGACCACGGTTTAACAACGGACCAGCAATACTCTGGGTCGTGCACATGATAGATGCTGATGAAATTGATGATGCGCACGACTCACCCTCACGACTTCAGGTTCCCCTGGCAACCTTTCACAAATCAGCATTTCCACGGCAGCGGAAATGAAATGACCAGCTCATTAAATCGTCAAGTTGCGTCTGAGTCGTGGAATGTTCGCCGTCACGAGCAGGAAATAGCAGGAGGAACGCGGATGCCCAACTGCGTCAAAGCTTCGACGATCACCCGTTTCACATTAGCTTTGTCTTGTTGCCCATGGATTTGTTTCGTCCCTGACAAGACAGTCTCGCCGTCAGCATGCACCACGCGGACATATCCCCATCAGGAAGCCACCAGATCGCCAGCCCAATGCCGCAGAGTGCTGTCAAAATGGAGACAGTCATGCGTGTTGAACGCGCAAGGAATAAAGTATTCCTCGATAACTTGCACAAGTGTAGGGTCAGCAAATATTGCCCCAGCATCCTTGCAACCCAGTCAGCCTTCCCATTCCACAAAATTTGCAAAGATGGGCTTGCCCGTTTTGCGCGCTTCTGCAAGTGCAGTTTGAACTTCTCCACGACACCCGTCTGCAGAAAGATTGCTATACCGAACATCACCGAGCTCAACTGCCTGCCCCATGCTCAGGGGGGATTCTCGTGGGGCACAGGATGATAAGTTTGGCTTCTGTACGGCGACATTGGGCCACAAACCAGCAAACCCGTCGCAGCATCTCATGGCGACCGGCTTGTCAAACCCCTGGCGACATGTCGTGCTAGTGGTTGAGCCAGAAAAACAGGATCTGCAAGACTGACGAACTCCTCACTGTCGCTTTGAGTAGCGTTTCAAAAGATTATGCTTCATCGCGACATGTATATATATATATATATATATATATATATAGATGTATGTGTAAGTGTACGTATCCATATGATGCACATACACACGTACGAATACAAACATTAATGTACGTTATAGGTGTACCTATTCCTTCGAGTATGTACATGTGTCTTCCGAATGATTGATATGTTGGCATGTGTTCAGAGGTATTGGTCTGCGATTGTCGAGCAGCCTGAGGCTGTGTCGACGACCATACAGTCAGTGGCTTTGCTGGACCCTTTAGCGCCCTCCTGGGCGCTTTGGGGGCTCGGAGCTCCTTGTGATTTAGGGATCCTTGATTAACTCATCGGCGGCATCGGCAGAGAGGGGAGGAGGGAGGAAGGAGGGAAGGGTAAGCGAGGGAGGAGGGAGAAGGGAGGAGGAAGAGGAGGAGGACGAAGGGAGCGAGGGAGGGAGGAGGGAGGGAGGAGAGAGAAGGGAGAAGGAATGAGTGAGGAAGGCGGGGAGGAAGGTAAGGAGGAGGAGGAGGAGGCGGAATGGAGGAGAGAGGAAGGAGGGAGGAAGGAGGAGGGAGGAGGATGTTGAAGGACAGTGGGAAGAGGTAAAACAAGGCAAAAAAAACGCGCGTTCAGGTGGTGGTTTCCCAATTGGTAGACTCAAAACTTGAACTGCCCCTGCGAGGTCATATGGCAGGCTCCAGAATCCCTGAACCCAAAAAGGCTGCCATCTCTTGGGTGCGCACCTTTTACTTGCGCCAGCCTCCGCTGGCCGTCAGCCAGCGGAGGCGGCCTCGTTCTATTTCCGCCGCCTTCCGCCGACCTTCCGCCGACCTTCTGCTTCGGAAGAGATAGCAGCTCGGACGAGGCTAGGGCGAGGACAAATCTGTTCCAGAGCGTTGCGGAACGCTCTCGGAGCGTTCTTGAGCGCCCGGGAACGCTCCGAGAAGGCCGCGGCGCGCACGAGACATCCTCCGGAGCCGCCGGATCTCAGAGATTCCCGAGGAGGGAGGAGGAGGGAGGAGGGAGGAGGAGGAGGAGGAGGAGGAGGAGGAGGAGGGAGGAGGAGGGAGGGGGAGGAGGAGGAGGGAGGAGGGAGGGAGGGAGGAGGGAGGAGGGAGGGAGGAGGGAGGAGGGAGGAGGGAGGAGGAGGAGGAGGAGGACCAGGGATCTGCCCGCCCCCGAATTTTTATCCCCGGCCCGCCATCGTCTCAGCAGCTCCCTCGGCCCTGGAAGGCGAGAGGCCCTGCCTGGACGGCCCCATGCGTGCGCGCGCGTGTGCCAGGGGTGGCTTCCTCTCTTCCCGTCGCGCCGGGGCTCCTCCGCTTCCTCCGTGCGTGGCGGCTTGAATCTTGGAGGGGCCCTGGGACACACAAATAACCGGATGCCCCATAGTTTCCCATATTTTCTGAGTTTTTGTCTTCCCCACCCACTTCCCATATTTTTCACATTTTCCTGGGAATCGACGATTGATTGTGTCTGTGTGTTTTTTCCCCTCCTGCAATTTACATGCAGCGTGGCCCCATGTTCAGGCAAGCGGGTTCCACTGCTCGCAGAG